GATCACCTACGCTGTATCGAGCCTAGTCAGCTCACTCAACTACTTCTCTCTATATTTCTATCTATCTTTTCTCTCTTTCTCTCGTCTTGTCTTGTGTGACTTGAGTGGCGCCCTCATTGAGAGTGATCGTTCCTGACAAACAACCTCCGACGGACACTAGAAAGTTGAGAAAGGGGTTCTTTGAACCCTCGGAAGAAAAAGGTGAACATAGTAGGACCTCAACCATTGGCAGTCTTGGAGTTGAACCAAGGACTCCTTGGAGGCATCAGCCACAAGGAGGGTACTAACCACTGCACCATACTGCCATGATTGGGGATGTCGATGTGATCTTGTTAACCGACAGAGAACACCTTCCGCTGGAAAAACGTGAAGTACCAGAATTACGTCACCTCCGGGCAGCAGAGAAAAAGATTGAATGAGCCGAAATAATGACAGCATTGGAGTCGAACCAAAGACTCTTTCGAAGAAGAACTATGAAAGAGGATGCTAGCCACTGCACCATACTGCCGTGATTGGGAAACGGATCCAGGCTTCTTGGCCAACAGAGAGTCTTCCGGCGGGAAAAACAAAAACACAGTTTAACCCCCGGAAGAGAAAACAGAACGTAAGAGCTGAAGGACAACCTTGGATTCGAACCAAGAACCTCATCCTTCATAGCCAAGGGGGGTGACCAATCGAGATGAGGCGGTGACCACTACACCATATTGCCCATGCTGAACCAGACAACGTCGGTTTGTTTGAGCAGAATTGGAAAAGTGGCGGGAACGTGACCAGAAGACACGATTACGAGAAGACAATTGTGCAAAATTTCCATATTTGGAGCGTACTACATACAGACGCATCTGAGTAACTAAGAGAAAACGCCCTGCTCCTTCGGAAGGGACACAGAAAATCTACCGACGGACGCAAAGTCAGGAAGTAGTAGGACTGACTAGCCGGGAAGGACTCACTATCAATATAACTAGTCCTGCTGAGTCTGGGAGGTTCCCCCAGTAAAGACCTTCACGAGTCAGGGTCATCAACGGGTACCTGTGGGTTTGATCCGTGGGAAAACCCGCAGGTTTAGTGATCCGTGGGTCAGGTACCCGTTTCCCACGGGTCATTAACAGGTCACGGGTCAAGCTCTCCACTTTTGACGGGTACCCGCAGGTCAGACCTATTTTGCTTTAAATCAAGTTATAACCATTGAAATAAATTAATTCAGGTCTCAGATAGATTTGAGTTAAATGTGCAGGCAATCCTAACACTTGTTTAAGATATACACAAGCTCATAATATAATTTTATGGAAATATACATTGATATTTCAGTCCAAACAATTCATATTCTGAGAAACATACCACATATAATACACCATATTCAAGATGAAGGAAAACCACTCATTTTTCATTTCTAGAAGTAGTGACAAAAATTCAATCCTGATTAATTAATTGAGTTTTTGTAAATTGTGGCACCATGTGTTTATAGGGGAAAAGTAGCTCATAAAAATCTGGGGGATGGGACATTATGTAGATGATAACAATCTGCACAAATCACATTTCTAGACCCTCTCACCAAGCTCAATGGCTGAAGGTGGAGATGAGAATATGTGGCAGAAGCAAATAATTTTTTTTTGTATTTTCTGAATAGACCATGTAGCTGAATTAATATATTTATGTAATCTAGAGTAGTAAATCAACCTTCCTACAAAATTTTAGATTTTTTGACCAAGCTGTTGTTGAGAATGAGTGGTTGCAACATTGGTGAGCCAATGCTTAGAAAGTCATGTGACTTCAAATTTGAGTGTCTGCACAATGTTTCGACTGTCCGTTCTCATCAATGGCACGGTCAAAAAATCCGAAAATTCATACAGACCCAGATTGAACATTATAGATTGCTTATATGTAGTAATCTTTATCATTTACAAAGTCCCTGTATTCATTTACAATGTTTTATGACTTTCAACTTATATGTATACTTATATTTACTTCCAAGTACTTAATACATAGGGACAATGTAATGTTTTTTATTTTTTAAAGTTTTGCATAACTTGACCCATGGGTACTTGCAGACTCGCAGGTTTTTGACCCATGGGTCAGGTACCCGTTTCCCACGGATCTTCAGCAGGTCACGGGTCAGCACTTTTTGACCACAGGTACCTGTCTACAGGTCACGGGTTTGACCTGACCCGGACTCGTGAAGGTCTTTATCCCCCAGGAACATAGTCGTCAACACTGTTATCCTGATCCTGGACTTGAGAACTTTCGGCGGAAGTGTTATTGCCAGTCGGAGTCGCAGCCACAGAAGCTTCGACATTTCCCCCGGAAGAACCGTTAGTTCCAGCGGTACCCCTACAAGGACAGTCCTAAAGATGAAGAATAATAAGAAAGAGGAAAAGGCCCATAACACAGAGGCATACATCACGACGGTGATACGCAGCCCTAAAAGCTTCGTTCCAATCGATAAATCCCCAGGAAGCAGCTCTGGGATCATGAGGCAAAGGCGCTCCCTCAGGAATGATGACCATTTCGACCTCCCCAGTATTTGGGTTCAGATAGTAGGCAATACGGGGTGGCGTTTCGTCCCCAGTAATGCCATTGCGAGCAGAAGAGTTAGAGTCAGATGGGTTGGAGTTCAAACCGGGCATATTGGCTGATAAGTTACCTTGGAACAAGTCGTCCGCTTATAACTATCAGTCTGAATATTTGCTTCCGGCGGATAATTCTCGATTCAGACTAAGATGGTTTCTAACGATCGAACGCATGTTTTCTGCACACAGTTTTTATTATCGCCTACAGGAAGAGATTTCACAGAGATAAGAGAACGACTATGGTCAGAGAAAGGAGTGTGGAGTATTTGATAAAGAAAAATTTAGGAAAAAGATGCTGGAAAAATATTTACCGCCATCAGACAGTTTTGTTGGAGTCGGAAGTGTCAGTTTCGGCTTCCGAAGGGGCTGCACTAGCTGGGGCTGAAGATGTGGCTACTGCTTCCTCAGGTACAGACTCCATATGACTATCAGGGTCGGCCTCAACTGTGGAAATGACGCCAGTTCCTCCAGAACTTGGACCAGCCACAATGTTCGACGGTCCGGCGGAAAGACCAGTAATATTGATCAGCTGGCGAAGACCATCAATCTCGGGACCAGAGAGCAAAGCAGCATTTTCCCCAAGAAGATCTTGGAGAATTTGGATGGAGCCTTGCAGATGGTTCATCTGCAAAACCATTTCCAATGCGGAAGTGCGGATCCTGGCCTCGAGCATCGATATCGCCTCAAGAACACGACGAGTGCCCGAAGTGCCCGCACCAGTGGCCGACGGAAGCAACGCTTCCTGGTACTCCCTGGCTAAGTGAAGTACAGTCACCAGACCGGCTTCAGAGAGGGGCGAAAGGTCCTCTGACGAAAAAGGGTTCAGACAGAATTTCGAAAACATAAAATAGTAAAAGAAAGCTTACGGAGGATTCCCTGGACAGCTCCGGGATTAATCAGACGGTACTGATCCCGCAAAGCTTGGACCTGACGGACAGTGGTAGCAGCCTCTTCCGAGTCTGCTCGAGCTCGTTTCCGACTGAGCTCCTGTCCGGCGGAAACAGTCTTCTGAGCCTGGAAACCGGTGATAAGGAAATATAACAAAGATAGAGAGATCGCAGCAAACCTGGTCAACCAGTTCGGCGGTCGAAATTGTGGTCTCCTGCAATAAGCGTAATAGTGGCTTTAGTTGACTCCATACGAAAGTAAGGAAGCTCAACAGCGTTACCAATTGATGGGGAGTACGAGGACGACTAGCACGCTGAGTTGTCTAAAGATAAGAGCAATCAGTACCATGCAGAGGGAACGAGAACAGTTGGACATAATACCGCTGGGGCCTCATCATCACTAATGGGGATGGGTTCTTCCTTTTTCTTGCCTTTCTTCTTTTTCGAAGATTTGGTAGCCTAAAACGAATTGGGATATCAATTTGAAAAGTGGGAATTTAAAGAAAGGGAGGACATACGCTATTTCCTTCGGAAGTACCTTTTCCCTCGGAAGCTTTTGGTGGAGGAGTAGGTGCGGTCTCCGCCATTTCCACGTCTCCAGAAGAAACGCGGACACTGGCCGGAGCATGACTAGAAGACACAATGGAACGGTTGGGAGCAGGCCTAGGTGTACCTACGTAAGATCCTCCACGGGGAGGTCTCTGGGAAGGACGACCACTCCCTTCCGACTGAAACGAAGATCTTAGCCTAAGAAATTACCTTGGGAAGAGAATTGAAAATGACCCACACGATACGATCGACGGTTTTCAGAAATGTCTCGATACCGACGGACGAATGATTGAACTTCGCCATGAGATCGAGGCATTTCCAAAGACAATGCATTGAAAACAGCTTCCGCAGAGCGGCGTCGGGGCAAAAACTCATTCTCCATAAACTCAGTATCCTGTAAAAGGGACGGTGCTTCGGGAGTATGGGTAATGTCCGCCTGAAGAGAAAAGATTATCAGTCGGAAACGATTTTGGGTCTTGTCAGTGGAAACCTACTAAGACTATAAGGACTGCCTCAGCATCGGCACAACTTTGATAGTTGTAACGGCCTTGGTTGTCCTCAAGTCGGTTCTGCAGGTCGACTGCACGATTCCGAAGTGTGTTTCGAAGAGTGTCCAACTGCTTGGGTGGACCACTCATAGTAACAAGGAAGTATAAACGGATTCAAATGAGAAGTTTCAGACGGAAGCAAAAATAAAGTCCCTGGCAAATGTGGAACCTTTTATACTGAGACGGGCCTAACCTATGGGTTGGGGACAACCATTTTCAGTAAGGGGGAGATACAAGGTGGCATGGAGAAAATGACCTATAGCCACAAAATTTTGCCGTCGGTAAAATGACACATTTTATCAAAAAAGGGATCTAACAGCATAGCAACAAAAGACAACTGACAAAATGAACAAGTACACAATTTCCGCCGGAAATCACGCACACCCCAAACAAGGCGTTCTAATATCCACCGGAAGATTTGACTTGTGAAATTTCGAGATCTCAGTTAGGGCTCACAGACAATCACACTCAGAAGGGCAAACAGTTCACAATCAGATAGTATTTTGACTGGCACTAGAGATACAAATAGAGATGGGCCAGAAGGATACAACTAGACAGCACAATGGTAGCAAGATGTAGCAAGGGTAACAAAAGAGTACAAAGGTACTTGGTATACAACAAATAGTACCAGTACAAGACAGCACAGTGATAACAACAACAACAAGCAAAGACAGCAAGGAATCAAAACGGGGTACTAAGTACCAGTACAAGATATCATAGCAAATAAACAGCACAATGAGACGGGTATTCAAGCTAGCTATGAGATTCGAAGTCCAGAAAAAGAAATCGCGTCCGACGGAAATAGCGAACAGGAAAGCGTCAGAGTCCGAGGGCACGAAATTTGTCGCGATACCACCTAATTCTTTCTAACTTTGCGACCAGCACTGCGAGCCTTAGATCCTGGAGCCTGTAAGAAAAACATTACCCACTGAAAAGAGATAGAGAAGAGGAAAACTT